CGGGGGCGCGAGGGGGAACTGGAGCTGCTGAAGGAGCAGCTGGGGGCGGCGGGGCCCCCCGAGAGCCTCTCGGACGAGGAGCTGCCGCTCGACCCCCGGCTCTACCAGGAGCTCTGCGCCGGTGCCTTCGACGAGCACGGCCTGGTGAGTAACCCCAAATCCAACCCCCTGGAGCACACCCAAACCCCCTGTGCCTCCCAGATGGCCCAAAAAGTCCCAAATTCCGCTCTGGGGACCCCAAATCCTCCCTGGACTGGCCCTAAAATGCACCCCAGAGGCCCTAAATTTCTCCAAAAATCTTCCAAAATCACAGCCAAATGCTCCAAAGTCTGCTCCAGGGACGCAAAATCCTCCCAGAAGATCCCCCAAATGACCCAAATTCTGGTCTGGGGACTCCAGATTCCCCCAGAATTGCTTCAAAATGACCCTACGTGCACCCCAGGGACCTCAGATTTCTCCAAAATTGCCCCAAGTGCTCCAGATTCAGTTTTGGGGACCCCAAATCCCCCCCAGAATCTCCTCAAAATGCACCCCAGGGACTCCAAATCCCACCAGGGTTGCTCCAAAATGCCCATAATTTGCCCTGGTGACCCCAAATCCCCTCAGAATGGCCCTAAAATGCCCCAAATTTTGTGCTAGGGACCCCAAATCTCCCCCCCCCAAATTGTCCCAAAATACCCATAATTTATTTTTGGGACTCCAAATGCTCCCAGAATCACCCAAAATGCCCCAAATTCTTCCTTGCGTACCCCATATTTCACACAAATGCCTCAAATTCTGCCTTGGGGACCCCAAATTGTCCTAAAATGCCCCCAAACCCCCCCCGGGGACCCCAGATTTCACATAATTACCCCAAATTCAGCCTTGGGGACCCCAAATTGCCCCAAAACTCACTCTGGGGACCCCAAATTTCCCCCCCAAAGCCCCAAATTCTGCTTTGGGGACCCCAAGTTCCCCCAAATCGCCCCCAAACCCACCCTGGGGATCCCAAATGCCCCAAATTCCCCCAAATTGCCCCAAACCCTACCCACTGCCCCCCATCATGGCTCGTTCATGCGTGTCACGGTGCATATCTCCGCCTGTCACCATCCCTGACCCCCGTCACATGCCCCTCCATCTGTGTCCTGACACGTCCCATGTCCTGACATGATGCCACCTATGGTCACGCATGGCATGGTGTGTCTTCCCGTGACATCGTTGCATGTGTTATAGGGTCCCCCATATTGCAACATGGGCCACGTTGGGGTCCCCATGCCACGACACGCTTCCTACTGCATGCTTGAGTGTGTTGAGGCATGTTTTTAGGATGCGAGGCTACTTTAATGCATGTTTTTAGCATGTTATGGTACATTTTAATGCATCAAGATTATATTGAGGCGTATTTTTAGTATATTGGGGTGTGTTTTACCATAGGGCACATTTTAAGCATGTTGAGGCACACTGAGGCATGTTTTAAGCACATTTAAGTGTGTCAAAGCATATTTAGGCATGTTAAAGCATGTTTTAAGTATGTTCAGGCACACCAAGGTGTGTTTTAAGCATGCTTGGGCACGGCAAGCCACATTCTGAGCACATTTAGGTGTGCAGAAGCGTGTCTTAAGTATGTTCAGCCACATAGAGTTTGTGTTTCAAGCATACTGACACAAGTCAAAGTGTGTTTTAACCATATTCAAGCACACCAAGGCATGTTTTAAGCATGTTCAGGCACATGGAAGCATGTCTTAAACATGTTTTTGTGTGTTGATGCATGTTTTTGTGTGTTCAGGCATGCTTTAAGCGTACCAGGCTGTTTTTTAATACACCAAGATGTATTTTTAGCCTGTGTCACTGCATTTTTTTCACATTGGGATATGTTTTTCCATGTTGGCGCAATTCTTTGTGGTGCTGAGGTGTGTTTTTGGTGTGTTCCCGGTACAGCCGTGGCTCAGCGACCCCGAGGACGCCCCCTTCCTCGACCCCGTCCTGCGCAAACGCGCCGTCAAGGTCAAACACGTCAAGCGGCGGGAGAAGAAATCGGACAAAAAGGTGGGGACTGGGCGCCTGGGTCCCTCCTGGGGCGAGTTACTGGGAGGGGTCCTAGGAGCTCCCAGTGGGCACTGGCAGCTACTGGGAGGCCCTGGGGATTACTGGCAGTCACTACGAGAGCTACTGGGAGCTACTGGTGGGGTTTTGGTGGTTACTGGAAGGCCCTGAGGCTTACTGGAAGGCCCTGAGGCTTACTGGGAGGGTTTCTGGGAGGTCCGTGTGGGCTTTTGGTTGTCCCTGGGGCCTTACTAGTGTGAACTGGGTCTTACAGGGACCCACTGGGATTAGTGGAAGGGCCACTGGGAGGGCTCCTGGTGATCCCTGGGACCTTTACTGGTGTGAACTGGGGCTTACTGGGAGCTACCGGGAGGCCCTGAGGCTTACTGGGAGCTACTGGGAAGGGTCTTGTTGCTCCCTTTGGGAGGGCTTGGTGCTCCCCAGGAACCTTACTGGTGTGAGCTGTGGGGTTACTGGGAGCTACTAGGTGTTACTAGGAGGCCCCGAGGGCTACTGGGAAGGGCACTTGGTGGTCCCTGGGGCCTTATTGGTGTGACCTGAGGCTTACTGGGAGGGGGCTACTGGGTGGGCTCCTGGTGATCCCTGAGACCCTTACTGGTGGAACCCGGGGCTTACTGGAAGCTACTGGGAAGTGCCAAGGATTACTGGGAGGGCCATTGGGGCTACTGGGAGCCATTGGGAGGGCTCCTGGTGGTCCCTGGGGTCTTACCAATGTGAACCAGTACTTACTGGTGCTTACTGGTGATGTCAGAAAGAGGAGCGGTACAAGCGGCACCGGCAGAAGCCGCGGCACCGGGAGCGCAGCCGGCACCCGGAGCGCCCCGACGCCCGCGATCCCGCCGGATTGGGCCAATGCCTGGGCCCCGGCTGCACCCGCCCCGCCCGGCCCCCCTCCAAGTACTGCAGCGAGGCCTGCGGTGTCAAGCTGGCTGCCAAGTGAGTACGGACCAGTATAAACCAGTATAAACCAGTACAGACCAATACAGAGTAGCATAAGGTATAATAGACCCGTATGACGCCCCAGTCATCCAAGTGCTGCAGCAAGGACGGTGACATCAAGGTGGCTGCCAAGTGAGTAGAAACCAGTATAGAGCAGTACAAACCAGTATAAACCGGTGGAGACTGGTATAGACTTAGTATAGCGTGGTATGGACTACGGTAAGCCAGTATGAGTGCTGGGTTATCCAAGTACTGCAGGGAGGCCTGCAGTATCGAGCTGGCCGCCAAGTGAGCATAGACCAGTACAAACCAGTATAGACCAGTATAGATTAATATAGAATAGCATGAGTGTAATAGACTCATGTGATGCTTGGCCCATCCAGGTACTGGAGAGAGGATGGTTGTGTCAAGCTGGCTGCCAAGTGAGTATAGGCCAGTAGAAACCAATATGGACCAGTAGAAACCAGTAAAGAGCTATATATAGCAGTATAGATCAGCATAGACGAGTGTGGAGTGTAATAAACCAGTATGATGCCCTGGTTATCCAAGCGCTGGAGGGACGGTGGTGGCATCAAGGTGGCTGCCATGGGAGCAGAGTCCAGTATGAGCCAGTATAAACCAGTATAGACGGGTATAAACCAGAGTAGTGTGGAGTGTAATAAACCTGTGTGATGCCGTGATTATCCAAATAGTGCAGCGAGGCCTGTGGCATCAAGATGGCTGCCAAATGAATAGAAAGCGGTAAAAACCAGTATAGACCAGTATAAAGCAGTACGGATCAGAGTGGATCCCACAGCAGATCCCGGGGCCCTGGAGTGGCTGGGATCTCCCCCCGGGTGCCCCCAGTATCCCCCTCCCTGGATGCCAGCTGGACCAATGAGATCCTGCCTGGAGTGGATCCCAGAGTGGATCCCAGTGGATCCTGGGGGTAGCTGGGATCACCCCCACACCCACCCTGGGGGTGCCCCCACCGTCCCTGTGTCCCTCACGGGGATCCCAGGTGAGCCTACGATCTCCTGCTGCACTGGATCCCGATGGATCCCACAGTCAATCCCGGGGAGCTTGGGGCGCTGCAGAGCCTCCCCAGTTTCCCCTGGGATCCCAGCTGGACTGGCAAGGTCCTGCACCAGTGGATCCCACACTGGATCTCCGGGATCTGGGAGTCCTGGGCTGGTGGAGCCCCCTCCCCCCGCCCCCCGTGACTCCACGTCTCCTTTGGGATCCCAGCTGGACAGTCAGGATCCTGCCACAGCGGATCCCAGAGTGGATCCCACACCAGATTCCAGGGATCCTGGGATCTTCAGGCAGCGCAGCCCCTCCAGGGTGCCCCCACTGGCCCTGTGTCCCCCCCCCCACCCCTCAACTGGATCTACAAGATCCTGCCGCAGCAGATCCCAGAGCAGATCCCACACTAGATCCCGGGGATCC